GGACAGAGTGGAACTGCACCACGGGGTCTCCAAGGCTGTCAATCTTCACGGAAGCAAAGCCCAAACCACACCCCCTGCCATGGAGTCCATTCTGACCCACAGCGCCCCTAGAGGACGGAGTGGAACTGCCCACAGGGTCTCCAAGGCTGTCATCTTCACAGAAGCACGTACCTGGTCCTGTTGTCCATGGAGCTGCTGGTCTGTCTGAAATACACTCCTTTTGTTAGCAGCCAAGCGCTTAAGCACTGCACCACTAGCCTGTCAATTTCTAATTTCACTTCACCCCCTCAAACCCCACGACTCCCTGAGTCAGATGTCATTATGCATTACACCCCACTTTTACTGACCCTGATTTGGTAACACACCAGTCCAGGGAAATCTCAGGTTCCCTTCTGTGGTCATTTCAGACCCCAGCTGCTTCCACACAGCCGTTTCTCTCCACCAAGGCTAGGTCTGCAAGTTCTGGCCGCAAGTTAGGGAATTCCCACAGCTTTCACAATCCCAGACCAGCCGCAAGTTCCTCCGGTTGCCAAACTTTGCACCTCCCTTTCCTCCTTCCATGTCAGAGTGGCCCCATCGGGGGTTTGTCAAGTGTCCACTGTGGGCCAGACCAAGTCCGCTCTGGGCCCTTAACTTGAGTGAATTCTTTTGATGATCCCCAACAAGCAAAGACATCCAGCTAGACCCATTGAACAGCCAAAAGCCGCAAGGAGCAATGTAACATACAACTACTGGTCTCTCCTCATCAAGAGAGAGAAGGAAGGAAGCCCACGTCTCAGAGGAGAGACTTGTCCACAGGGCTGATGGCCTACATGAGTCACAGCCTCATCTTCTCTGAGACCAGAAGAAGTACATGGTGCCCGACTGCCACTACTGACTGTTTTGATCAGGGCCACAAGTGGATCTGCTAGATGAGGGGACAATCGTGGAACAGGACTCAATTTCTTAAAAAAAAAAAAAAAAAAAATCAAGATTACTGGACCAATTGAGGCCAGACGACTCTCTAAGATTTTTACCCTGAGATATTGTTTAAACTTTGAACTGAAACTATCCCTTGAGGTCACCTTTTAGTGAAATAACAGATTGGTACTCAAAAAAAAAAAAAAAAAAAATTGTAAGTATGGTGATGTATTTAAAAAGAAAAAAGTTATGAGACCAAAAGATCAACAATTACTCTAACACAAAGATGAGAAGATAGAGGACAGGGCAACTAGAGTGCTGGAAACGGAAGCACTAGAGAAGCAAAAGGTAATTAGCGAGAATGGTGACACAGTGAACACGCAACCAATGTCACTGAATCGCTGCCAAAACCAAAAACCAAACCCACTGCCGTCAAGTTGATTCTGACGCATAGTGAGCTCCATTGAGTTTCCGAGGCTGTAAATCTTTACGGAAGTAGATGGCCCCATCTTCCATCTGCAGAGTGGCTGGTGGGGTTGAACCGCTGACCAGCCAAATGTCTTATCTACTACACCACCAGAGCTGAATCTGCAGAAATTATTAAATGGGAACTGGTTTGCTGTGTCAACCTTCACCAAAACATGATGAAATACCATTTTTTAGCAAGACGCTGAGGACACTGAGAGGCCCGGAGCGTGAGGCCCTGAGGCCCTGCCTGAGCAGCTCGGTGACCATCGGAGATCCAGGCTCAAGCACAGCCTTCTGTCTGCGGTCGCCCCACCCTAGCCACTCTGCTGGTCTACGACCAAGGCCCACCTGCCACTGAAGAAGCGCCACCCACCCAGCGTCCACCCCCGGTGCAGGGCCTGCCACCAAGAGCTCCTCACTGAGGGCAGGACTCAGAGTGGCCCCTCAGGCCCTGCCCTGAGCCAGACACCTCACCTGAGTCTGCAGTGAACGCACACCTCCATCTCTGCACTGGCTTGTCCCACAGACTGAGGGACACTGGTGGCACGGTGGTTACGCGCTCGAAAAGGTCAGTGTTTAGAACCCACGACGGATATCTGCCTCTGTAAAGACTATAGTCTTGGAAACCCTGTGGTGCAGTTCCACTCTGTCCTCTAGGGGCGCTGTCGGTCGGAATGGACTCCAGGGCAGTGGGTGTGGTTTGGGCTTTGCTTCTGTGAAGATTGACAGCCTTGGAGACCCTGTGGGGCAGTTCCACTCTGTCCTCTAGGGGCGCTGTGGGTCGGAATGGACTCCAGGGCAGTGGGTGTGGTTTGGGCTTTGCTTCTGTGAAGATTGACAGCCTTGGAGACCCTGTGGGGTAGTTCCACTCTGTCCTCTAGGGGCGCTGTGGGTCGGAATGGACTCCATGCAGTGGATTTGGTTTGGGCTTTGCTTCTGTGAAGATTGACAGCCTTGGAGACCCTGTGGGGCAGTTCCATTCTGTCCTCTAGGGGCGCTGTGGGTCAGAATGGACTCAACAGCCCCAGTTTGGTGTGTGACCAATGAGGCCCCTGGGTGCATGTGTTTTGTGCTTGTAACTGCCTAAAGGTTGGTGGTTCAAACCCACACAGTGGTGCTGTGAAGGAAAGTCTTAGCAATATTCATTTGTAAAGATTACTATTGTTTGGTGCAGTTAAGTCAATTCCAGCTCATCATGACCCTACAAGTCAGAGTAGAACCACCTCACTGTAATCTACAGGAGCAGGTGATCGGGCCTCTTCTCCTTCAGAGCCACTGGGTGGGTTAGAACAGCCAACCTTTCAGTTTGCAGCCGCATGCATAACCATTGCACCACCGGGCCTCCATTTGTAAGGATTGCAGCCCAGAAACCCAGTGGACCACGTCTGCTTTGTAACGATGGGACTGCCGTGAGTGGGAACCAGCTCCATGGTAAAAGGTTTGTTTTGTTTTGCTTCAATGTGACCAATATGGCGACCCCATGTGTGCAGCACAGAACCGGGCTTCACAGAGCTTGAGACGCTGAGCCCTCGCAGAAGCCGACTTCCCTCCGAGGCTCCTCCCGGTGGATTCAAACCACCTTTCAGTTCACAGTCAACCGTTTGGGCCACCAAGGCATTCCTTGCGTTGGAGTCCACGGCAACTGGTTATGTGGCCAACGGGAAAACAGGCTTGACCAGGGAAGGGGGCCAAGACTTAGGATGAGGCCCACCTGACTCCCAACCCAGAGCTTCCCCCACCCCTGGCTGTCAGCCTCGTTCCCGATGCTGTTTTCAGGGCCTGGTCGGCTGCGTCATCAACACCCAGGATGCTTGGGGCAGGCGGCACTGAGTCGGTCAGGTAACCCCAAGGCCCCAGGAGCACATGTGAGGGTCATTTCCTGTGACCCCGTCAGAGTCCTGACCTATCTGCTCTGTCTCCTTGTGTGAGGCCTGAGTCCTAATGGCCTCCAGGTAAATCTTGAACCAGAAGCCTTTAGTGTCAGGGATTCTAACACGTCCCATGCCTCAGGGCTTTTATCTCCCCTCCGGATTCCAGCACGTGTCAGACCCTCCGGATTGAGCACGTATCAGAGATTTACCTGGCTCCTGCAAGTCTCCCACGCATCAGGGCTTTACATCCTCCCTAGATAATAATTCCCTAAACCGGGGAATTCCAACACGTCCCCCAACATCTCAGACCCCTGCCCTAAACCCCTTAGCAACAACCAATCATCTGTACCCCTTTGCCCTGGTGCTACTCCATCCTATATTTTTCCTATAAAAATGTGATAGTAAAAGAGCACGGGGTCTTTTGCCCAAGCCGCTGTGTCGATGAGAGCAGGGACCCTATCTCAAGCTAGCAAATAAACTTTCCTTTTGTTTTTACATTATCGTGTCTGTGGCTTCCTCGTGCCGACATTCCTTTCCGAACACGGGCCCAACACTTGTACTCACTTATACCTGAGAACTCACCTTCTAGGGGCACGGAGCTGCCACATTTCCCACAATGCTCTGTCCGTGTTTCCACCATGATGGCTCTTGCTAGCCACGTTTCCCACAATGCTCTGCCTGTGTTTCCGCCATGAAGGCTCTTGGTAACAGGAACTGGAATGTCCTGGGGGATGGTCTGCCTCCATGTTGGTTAAGAAAACCAAACAAACCAAGGCAGTTGCCGTAGCGTTGGCCCCAACGCCTGGCGACCCTGTGTATGTCAGACTCAGACTGTGCTGCTCGGGGTTTTCAATAGTTGTTTTTTCAAGAGTAGATTGGGAGCCCTTCCTTCCAAGACACCCCAGGTGAATTCAAATCTCCAACCTCACAGTTAACAGATGAGCGTGTAAACCATTGGCACCACCCAGGGACTCTCCTCATTGCTTAAGGAACCCCCTTAATCACGTCTGTCACAGTCTCCTCTTTGACTCCCTTCTCCAACAGGAGCAGATGTCCAGGACGTGGCTGTGGGAGTCATTCATTCACTGAGTTGGCCGGTCAACGGCCCCTCCCTCACTGCTGGGACACTTCCCCTCTCGTATGCCACGTGGTTCTCCCTCAGGCCCCTCCTGAGTCCCACGCTTGGCAGGACGGGTCCTCCTGATCCTGCTACTAGCTGTGATTCGCAGCGTCTAGACAGGCGGTACCTACTCTCCTGGTGTGGACAGTGATGGGTGAGGGGCCAGTGCACAGACAGGAAGCCAGGAGCTAGCGATTGGGTTCCCGGCTGCTGTGCATGGGCCCCATAGAGGCCTCTTCCAGAAGATAGAAGTGATCTCCCACCAGGGCTCTGAGAGCTTGTGGCATGAGGTTCCTCTTCTGTGGTCGGTCACCTTCCTGACCTCATCCTTGAGCTTCCTGCCGGGCTTCCTCTCGGTCCTATGACACCAAGGCCCTTGCCTCTTACCCCAGAGATGCTGCTGCTGCTTCTGGTGCTGCCGTGGGCAGGTGAGTGGACAGGGGTTGAGCAGTGGTCGTGGGGCCGGACCTCTGGCTGACCGCTGTTTCCTACAGGTTCTCTGGCTGAACGTTCGCACTTCCAGCTGCAAGTACCAAAGTTGGTGACGGTGCCGGAGGGTCTGTGTGTCCTTGTGAGCTGTTCTGTTTTCTACCCCAAGAAAGGCTGGTATTTGTCCACCCCAGCTCATGGCTACTGGTTCCGGAAAGACACTAATTTCGTATCCGGTCATCCAGTGGCCACAAACGACCGAGATAGAGAAATCCATGAGGAGACAAAGGGCCGATTCCATCTTGTTGGAGACCCCCGTAACTATAACTGTGCCTTGGCCATCAACGATGCCCGGATGGCAGACACGGGATCTTACTACTTCAGAGTCGTCAGAGGGTCTTATGTGAAATACAATTACGTGGATCACCAACTCTCCGTGAACGTGACAGGTATGGATTGGGGTCTAGGAGAAGACTCAGGGGAGGTGCACGGCGTCCAGGACAGGGGTAGGGTGGGAGTCCCTGGCCCCCATCCTTGGAGGGACCAAGGGGAACAGGATTCTGGGGGTGGGTAGGGAGGAACCAGCCTGGCTGAGGCAGAGGTTGGTTTTAGGGACCACTTGAGGGTCCTCACCTCCAAGGCCTTGTTCTCTCTCTCTTCCCTCGTCCAGCCCTCACACAGACACCCAACATCCACATCGAGGGCACCCTACAATCTTTCCATCCCAGGAAAATCACCTGTGAAGTGCCATGGGCCTGTAAGAGAGGGACACCCCCCACCTTCTCCTGGATTGGAGACGCCCTCAAATCCCCAGGCCTTAAGACTCCCTACTCCTCAGTACTCACCCTCACGCCAAGGCCACACCACCATGGCACCAACCTCACCTGCCAAGTGACCTTCCCTGGTGCCGGTGTGACCGCGCAGAACACCATCCTGCTCAACGTGTCCTGTGAGTGCTGGCCAGAGCCACCGAGGGCCCTGAGGGCGGTGGGTGCTGCGGAGAGTGGGGCAGAGTGTGGGATACTGGGTGCTGGGTCCTGGAAGAAGGGGCTGAGGAAGAGGACCTAGACGCGACCTCATTCCTATTTCTGGGACAAAGGGCCCAACCTTCCTGCCGCTGAAAAGGGCACCTTGTTTCTGTCCGTCCAGATGTTCCACAGAACTTGACCATGCGCGTCTTCCGGGGAAATGACAGAGGTAGGGAGCGGCCGGCCTTCTCTGGGGCTGTGGTGGACGTGAGGTCTCTGCCCCTCAGAGCAGAGCTGGGGCCTCAGTTTCTGGGGGAGGAGGCCTCTGGCTGGGGGAGGGGGGACAGCAGAGTTGGTAAAGCCGTCATTCACTCATAGCCTACAACTGCTTCTCCCTCACCCTTGGCCTTGCTACCATCAACAGCATCTATGACCTTCTCCTGGCCAAGCCCAATGGGTGCAGCTGTCACCACGGCCAGGAGACATCCTTGTCCCAAACTCTTTCCTCAAGCCTCTCTGATCTGGACCCTAATTAGTCCTTTCGCTTGTTTTTTCTTTGTGTATTCTCCTAAAGCGTTTTATTGCGATGAAAACAACTACAGTGATGCATTCTCCATAGCAGACAGTTTTCAGACGTACGATTCAGTGATACTGGTTTCGTTCCCATCTTGTGCAATCCTCACCACCATCAGTTTCCAAATCATTCCACCACACTTAGGAGCGACTCAGTGCCTCTCAGCTAAGACTTCTCCTTTTCTCCTCCCTCCCACGCTCGGTAGCCACTAATTAACTCTGGCCTGTGTACACTTGCCAGCGTCCTGTTAGTGGGATCATATGGTATTTCTACCACTGACTTATTTCACTCAGCACCATGTTTTCCTTACGACTCTGTGGTTTTCCACTCGTAGGTGTATCTCGATCTATTGTGGTGTTTCAGGGGCAACCCTGCCAACGCTGAGCAGGTCTGTGAGTCCCGTCTTTCTAACAGTCAGTGCTCACTGTACGACACCTGAGTCATTCTCACAGCGGTGCAAACTTTTCAATAACTCTATTATTAATTTTGACTAACTCTATTAAGTTATTAAGTTGGTAGCATAGTGCCTAAGGCACTTGACTGCTAACCAGAAGGCTGGCGGTTCAAACCCACCAGCCAGTCCTCGGAAGGAAGGTTGGGCAATCTAC